GTACTTGGTTGCTGCTTGACATAGGTTGCTAAGCCTTTAAAAATTTTGCACGTGGAGGATATGAAACAAAATATTTTTTTAGGTTTTATATATACATTTGAATAACTAAAAAAAATCATAAACTATTACATCAATACCATAGAATTAAACTATGATTTATCAAGCTTAGTAACTAAGATGTATTTTACTCTTAAAAAAATATGAAAATTCGAGCAGACTAAAATTTCAACCTACCTCATTGAAATATTGGTTCATTAGAAAGGATGAGAAAACCACTGTGTCACATTTTCAGCTTCCAATTGGTTATTCATGTCATATATAGAAGTAAGTGTATACAAGGGAGTATTTTGAAAAATGGAAAAAGGTGGACTGGGTGCCAATGCATTTGATTTATTACATGAGCAATATCTTAGCAAATAGAAAAGATAAAAACCTTCTTATTTTATATTCTAGCTTGTCAGTATCAGTAATTTTAGTTTCTATTTCAAATGAAACTATAGACTTGGTATTTTGACTTCACAAACATCTAATTTGAACCAGTGCTGCATTCAACATACCATATGACACACAAAAATCGATGCTTATCTGTGTTTTTTTTTTCATATTTACTTTTAAATTAACAAATTGAGTAATGTGTAATTCCAAAATTAGAATTATAATCTACAATTGGATACCAAACTTATTGACATAGATTCATGATATAGTAGTTCAATGAAATTTTGAATGTGAGTCAACAAACAAGATGACATGGTCTTTCACCTACGACCCGTCTCTAAAGGGTTAAAGGTTTGACACTGTATTGTGCAAGAGATCCATACATACATATATATATATATATGTTATCAATGTCAGAGGAAGTACTGTAATTATTGTGAACTTTGTACTTTATTACAAGAGTAGCAACCATTTTTAAAGTAAAATGTAACTAAACATTTTTGTGTAAAACTACCAGCTCTTGAAGCAGAAAGAAGACAATGGGAACTTCACAGGAAATTTGGTCAAGATACAGTCTGTTTAAAGGTGGTTTTTATATTGAATGTTGACAGTTTCTTTCTTAATCTATCAATTTTAGGAAGTTTAACTCCTTTATCCCACTTTCTTTCAGTGTTTCTATGTTTTTGTAATTATATTTATGAGAGTATATTTTCTCTATGGGAAATTTGTTTAGTATGGATGAAATGTTATCCTTGAGGGAGAAGATACTGTGGTCTGTTGGCCAGTTTTCTTGATGAGTTAGCATGATTAGAGCAGTTATTTAACCTATTGACTGCTGATTTTCCGTATAGGGTACACACTGCCTTAAGCAGCTGAATGTGAGTGTTTTGTATATAGTGTATGGCTGACAAAAATTCTGTGCACATTTTAAAGCAGCCACAGTCAAAGGGCTAAAGATTCAGTGATATGAAGAAGATTTGCCAGTTTATAAGAATCATCAAATACTACTGCATGATGTCATGGAAGAGCCTGTGTATGGGAGGGGGAGAATGTTTTTTTGTGAAAAGAAATTTGAATTAATTTAACTACTATTGTGATATATGGGAGTATCATATGTTTTATACTTGCACTAGTTATATGGAAATTTAAAAAATTTTAGCTGATTATTTTCCATTATATCATGGTAACAAAATGTGATCCAGGAAGTTGTTAAGATTTACCTTGTTCCAGTTGTTTTGTTTCTTTGTTTACTATAGCACTTGATGTCTATTCTGCTGAAGAGGATATTGCTGTAACGTATAGCTTCCAGGTTTAGAGGATTGACACTGTAATATCCTTTTCTGGACAAGGATATTATAAATGGAATAGCTGGTTAATGCTAGAACAAAGGTCATGAGGTGAAACTGTAGACTGCACAACAGAAAAACGAATTTAACTGTTCAATTCAGGTGCATTTCTTTGAACCAGTTTTACGAGAAGATTATGAATAGAAACTCGTACTTGAAGTCCATCATGTTTAGTTAAACAGAAGTCGAGCTCGAGGAGAAAAAGTTGTAGAACTAAACACTATTAGAATTAACTGATTCTGTCTGTGCAAGTATGCACGATGTGCTTTCTATTTACTTGTGATAATAAAGAGTTTGTTCATTTCTTTACATTTGTTCATTCTTATTGTTTTACACTTAAAAAAAAATCAAGTTATCAAATACAGAACACTCCCATTATTTTTGAGTGAATATGCTGTTATTAGCAGTATTACCTATCTGTTTATCATGAAATTGGTTTTACCTGAAAATACCACACAATTATGTGCTTCTTAAGTCCATTAAATACATCTATCAGTTAGTCACATTTTAATATTTATGCAACTAAATTGTGGAATGCCCAATAAAAGTATTGTTCTTTATTGATGTTATTAAAATATTAATTCAAAAATGTTATATTTCTAGACAAAATGGTATATGTGGCAAAGATATCACACCTTTCATACTGAATAAAGTGAATGAGTTAACAGATGGAACTTCACTCCAAGCCAGTATCCTTTGCTTCTGTTTTTTTCTTTGTTTGACTTTTCTAATTCACAACACTTAGAGTTTGGTAAAAAGAATTTCGAATTTTGTAAATCATCTTCACTGGAACCTTTTTATCCCTGCTTAACCATTCTTATGATTCATGTTCTTTGTTTTAGTTGCATTATATTCCTTAAAGTGATTTAACCAGATATTGCACTGGTGAAAATCAATGCCTGTGTTGGAGCGCAAATTGCAGTAGAATTAGCAAAACTCCGTCAACAAAATGAAAAACCATTGCATTCAGACAGATGTGTTGGATTAAGTTCAAATTCAGTAAAAACAAAAGTTGAGAAAGCTGTTACTCAGGAGGAACTAGATATTGGTAGACCCGTAAGTTACTTACAGTTTGATTCAGATAATGGCTTTCCTATAAGGAGCTTTTATTTTGGAAAGTTTTTATTCTAAAAACTTAATCTGAAGATGCATAAAAAAAATACAAGTATTGCTTTATATTTTTTAAGTACAGAGACTGCTCTGTTGTAACTAATATCTACAATTTTCATTCTCTGACTGTGTGATTTCTCTACTTTTCTATTGTTTCATTTACTAGTAGGATATTATTCTTCCTGGGTGGTAAAAACCTTACCCAGTTGTAAGTAATTAAAGTAGTTAAGGGGGTAGTTTAATGTTTTGTGTGTGTTTTAGGCAGAGAAGCTACACTTGCTTTCAAGAAAAAATGATAGCAGAAAGCTTGATTATCAACCAAAAGTTATTTCTGGGTACTATCATTTATTCAAATAAAATAGTTAAATAGATTTTTGAAAATGAAACATATTTGTGTCCTATACTTTTTCACTTGTTCATTACTCCCAGTCTTGTACACAATCATGTGCAGGATCAGAGTTATTGAATAGACCTTTATCCACAATTATGTGCAGGATCAGAGTTATTAGGTAAACCTTTACCCACAATATTATACAGGGTCAGAGTTATTGGATAGACCTTTATCCACAATCTTGTACAGGGTCAGAGTTATTGGATAGACCTTTATCCACAATATTATATAGGGTCAGAGTTGATAGACCTTTACCCATAATAATGTACATCATTCAAAGTTATTGGATGGACCTTTATCCACAATCTTCTACAGGGTCAGAGCTATTGGATAGACCTTTATCCACAATATTGTACAGGGTCAGAGTTATTGGATTGACCTTTACCCATAATCATGTACAGCATCAGAGTTATTGGATAGACCTTTAACCACAATCAAGTACAGGGTGAGAGTTATTGGATAGACCTTCACCCACAGAGTTATTGGATATACCTTTATCCACAGAGTTATTAGATATACCTTTATACACAATCATGTACAGGGTCAGAGTTATTGGATAGATCTTTATCCACAATCATGTATAGGGTCAGAGTTATTGGATATACCTTTATCCACAATCATGTACAGGGTCAGAGTTATTGGATAGTCCTTTATCTACAATCTTACAGGGTCAGAGTTATTAGATAGACCTTTATCCACAATCATGTACAGGGTCAGAGTTATTAGATAGTCCTTTATCTACAATCTTGTACAGGGTCAGAGTTATTAGATAGACCTTTATCCACAATCATGTACAGGGTCAGAGTTATTGGATAGACCTTTATCCACAATCTTATACATGGTCAGAGGTATTGGATAGACCTTTTTCCACAATCTTACACATGGTCAGATTTATTGGATAGATCTTTATCCACAATCATGTATAGGGTCAGAGATATTGGATAGACCTTTATCCACAATATTGCACAGGGTTTAATGTTATTTGATATACCTTTATCCACAGAGTTATTGGATATACATTTTCCCACACTATTTTACAGGATCAGAGTTATTCGATATACCTTTATCCATAGAGTTTTAGATATACCTTTACGCACAATATTATACAGGGTCAGAGTTATTGGATAGACCTTTATCCACAGAGTTATTAGATATAACTTTATTCACAATAATGTACAGGATCAGTGTTACTGGACAGAAAAAAGGCAGCAAAATAAAGGGTTATAAAAATAATTTTGCCAGTGAACTAACTTGCAGAGGTTGCTCTGTATTTAAAATGTATTCTCTTATATGATTCCTCTAATTAAACACATCTCTGCAAGATAGCTATGAGAGACTGGTAATAAAGCATTTGTATCCCTCTCTCTGTACAGTAGAAATTTCTATTTTGTGTTAGAAATGCACAGAATAGCAATGTACAAAAAACATTTAAGTGGAAATTTCTGAAAAAATGCTGGAAGGTAGACTGCTGTTATATGTGAAGTAAGAGTTTTTTTTATTCAGGAATTGTGAAGAATAAAAGTATTTTTGTAACCTTATTTTTGTATTTGTAAAACTTGACAAAATTGTAAGAAAAAAGTGACAATTTAAACAGTCATAATTCAAAAGTGGTTAAAACAGTGAACCTAAGACTTGTAGAAGGCATTGTAATTTCTGTTGCTGAGTGTCAGAAAAGGAAAGCAGAAGAAATAGACAGATTAAGAAAATCAAAGGAGTGCTCTTCTAAAGTTTTTGCAATGTGACATATCGAAATAAAGTAAAGAAACTTCCATTAGAGCGAGAAATTACTGCTGCTAAAATTAGTGAGAGGACATGATACGGCTGTGATATGCAGGCATGTTTTCTACCTGCTTTTAGTTATATAGGAATTTTTAAATATTTTCATTTACTATGCATTTCTATGCAGTTTTAGCATAATCGCATGGTCCAGAATGTTGTTGAGGTTACTTTGTCCTATTTACTTTATTTCTTTGTTCTCTGTAATAGGTAATGTCTATTCTACCCAAGGGGATATTGCAGTAACATATAGTATCTGTGTTGAAAGGATCAGTAACTGTAGTTTACTTCATGGGCTGAATTTGATGATATCTGTATGTTTTAGCCACCAATGCTGTGAGAGAACGAGGATCACGAGGTGAAGTTGTGGTGCTGTTGACTGAACAAAAACAGTGTGTTTACCTGTTGAATTCTAGTATGCTTCATCAGTTCAATTCTACTAGATAATCATCAAGTAAAGATACTATTTGGAGATTACAGTGTTTTAGCTTTATAGAGATCAATACAGAGAGTGTGAAAGCTGTGAGACTAAACATAGCTCAGTAGAAGTATCAACTGTGATCTGGTGTGCACGCTGTGCTTTCTCTGAGTTTTATTGTAGAGATAAAGATTTTCTTCATTGTATCACAATTGTCCAGTCTCCTTACTTCACATACATTAATAAACTCAACTGAGTTTTTAAATATCCACATATTTCCCAATTGAATCTGCTGTTATTAGCAGAAATGTCTGATACTTGTAAGGAAATCAGTTTAATCTGAAAACAACTTCCTGCTATGCTTTCTCAAAAACTGATTAAATCACAATTGTTCATGATTATAAGAAAGACAATTCTAAAGAAAAGTTGATAAAAATAAAACATACATATGTATTTGACTTAGACGATCCAGCTAAATTGCAAATAATTGACTCAAATATGATATAGTTGTTGGTTGAAATAGGTCCAGAAAAACTGCAGTCATTTGACATTCCAAAGACTACAAAAACAAAATTCACAAGTTGTTATTCAAGATCAATTATAAATAGTGAAGAACTACCAAGACAAGGAGTTCTGTACTTGATTGTATCTAAATCTGTGTTTTGTTTTTGCTGCAAAGTTTTATACACAGCTTATTTTTCACTGATGTCTAGAATGAAACTAATTCAGTTGCTGTCCAACAGGGTCCAGACTCGCATATTGCCAAGTGCATGCCAAGTGTTACTTGATTGTATTCTATCCATAAGCATTATGGAACACAACAGATGACAGTGACCATGGGTAGGAAGGAAGGAGCAAGGGGGGGTCACTTGATCCCCCCCCCTGGATTTTTCAAAAAGAAGAAAAAAACTAGATATGTAAATTTATTCTTCTGTTTTATTGAAAAATCATAAGGTATTTGTATTTCGATTTCATAATTTTTTCAAACTTGAGTTACTTGACACCCCCACCTACTTTTTTTCTGCAGGTGCCCTTGACAGTGACTATTTAGTTTGTCACATCAACTGAAGATGGTGGAGTCAGTATCAATGAATGTTTCCTCGAATCTTTCCCACTGAAAGACACAAAGTAGTGCCTGTATTTCAAAGTTGTTCTGAGAAAACTTTAGGAAATAGCACTGCTCCTGAAAGACTTATGAGACCAAGCATATGACATAAGAGCCAACATGACTATGATGTTAAACAATACAGCCAGGTGTTGCCCTGAAGCAGTGATATTCTTTAACTTGATACAGTCAGGTGTTGCACTGAAGCAGTGATATTCTGTAACTTGATACAGCCAGGTGTTGCACTGAAAAGTGATATTCTGTAACTTGATACAGCCAGGTGTTGCACTGAAGTAGTGATATTCTGTAACTTGATATAGCCAGGTGTTGCACTGAAGAAGTGATATTCTGTAACTTGATACAGCCAGGTGTTGCACTGAAGAAGTGATATTCTGTAACTTGATACAGCCAGGTGTTGCACTGAAGAAGTGATATTCTATAACTTGATACAGCCAGGTGTTGCACTGAAGAAGTGATATTCTGTAACTTGATACAGCCAGGTGTTGCACTGAAGCAGTGATATTCTTTAACTTGATTCAAGGCATACATATAATTAATACTTCAGCTCATCATTGTGAATATTGTTACCTTATTTTATACAGGTGACTGTGAAATTATTCAGCAACACATTAAAAGTAGAATTAATTCTGTTTGTGCACTCCAGTAGTAGGTGGGAGAGATCTATGATGCTTTGGTCTATATGGCACATGACAACACTTGCAGGAACCAGAGGAACAAAATATCATTCCAAAGCAAATCTTGGTACAACAATCTTGAATCGAAATTGGTTTATCAGATGGTGAGGCAACTGGAATCAGTACTACAGAACTGTATGGTTATTTGCAGGTCCTCATATGGAGAGTGACTAAAATGATTGTGAAAAGTGTATTTGCATACAAGTGCAAAAACATTAATTTTACTCTTTTCCAAACACCTTTGTTGCACTGCTAATTCTGCTGACTTTGCTCATCACCAGTTGTTGTGAAGAAAGAAATTTGTGTAAAACATAAGGTCAAACATAACAAAAATGAGGCTAGTTGAACTGCCAACAATTTCAGTGGAGCATCAAACTGCAAAAATTGGACTTGAAGCTTCAATGAAAGCAAGGAAAGTGAAATTTCTACAATTGTAAAATTTGGAATTGGCACAATAGTCATTTGTTAATAACTGTTACTGTAACTTTTCACAGGTTTTAATAAATAAATATAAATGAATGAATTCATTTTATTGTTTGTTTTGAATTTTGTGCAAAGCTACACGAGGGCTATCTGCACTATCCACCCCTAATTTAGCAGTGGAAGACGAAAGAAGGCAGCTAGTCATCACCACCCACTGCCAACTCTTGAGCTACTCTTTTATCAACAAATAGTGGGATTGACCGTCACATTATAATGTCCCCACAACTGAAATGGCGAACATGTTTGGTGGGATGGAGATTCGAACCCTCAACCCTCAGATTCTGGGTTGAGTGCCCTAACCACCTTTTATTTTATTTAAGTCTTATTTTGCTGCACAATTGAAAGTAATGATTGGAGAGGGAGGGTGGCAGATTGAAAACTTGTTCAGGGTGACAAAATAGTTTGCTTTGGGAATGCTCTTATAACCAAATAAAATACTTCAAGGGATTCATAAAATCTGAGGTCTGTCTGTAAGCTGTAGTTCTTCACACATTTATGAAGGAATCGGTTAAAGCAGTTTACGAAAATCTGAGGTTTATTTGTATTAATTTGAACTTTATACATATTTATAGTTTAGTGAATCTAAAGAAATAAATAAACAGTTAGAGTCTATCTGAAAGTAGTAGAATATTATACTTTTGTAATTAATTAAAATATAAGATAGTTGAGGGATTGAATAATATCCTAAGGTCTGTCTCTAGGTGGTGGTTGGAGGCTCCATTGTGGATTTTACAGCAACAGTCCTACAAGAGAAGTTGCAGGTAAGGATTTCTTGAAGGTAAGAGAAATCTCCAGCATTAAACATATTATTTTGTTCCCGAGTTGTAAGAAGTTGTTTTACATCATTTTGGCTTTTTGGGAATTTTGTTATAATAATAGACATCTCAACAAGTATTATAGTTTATTCTTTTTTTATCCTGTATTTAAAAAAAGAACAACAACTCTCCCCATGGGTGTTCACAGAAGTTTTTCCAGGGGGAGGGAGGACAAAGGAGTGTGAAATTGTGAATTGAATAAAAAATTCATATACATATGTTGAAAGACTAAAAAAAGAAGTATGTTTCTCATTTTCCAAGTGGGGGAATTGCCTTGCTATTGAAAAATCTGCAAGAAGAAGATTATTATTAACGTTTTATACATAAGCAAATCTGTGAATTTTAGTGTGTTATATTTTTATTAGTAAGAACCTGTAAAAGTTTCTCAATTTTATTTCTTTTATTAAAAAAAATTTTATGTAGGATTTCTGAAATTGGTCAGAGAGTGTGACCTATTTTTTAGTTGTTGTTTCAAGTAAATGTAGAGAAACACTTTCCATTAAGACAAGTTTATTTCTTGCACATTTTAAGGATGCTTCTGAAAATTACATGTATTATATGTGTGTGTGTGTGTGTATATATATACAACGCCTC